CTGCTTACAGAAAACCACAGAACTTAGATTGATTCTGCCTCTGGCTTTTTGGACTTCTATACCTAGCCTTGGAGAGCCCCACAGGCTGGATCACAGGGCTTCCCAGGCTGAGGTTTGAGCACTCCTGGCTTAAATGGATCTGTAAAGTGATCTACTTCAAGGCCCTGGGGGGTCAGCCCATGTTTTGAAACAGACCTCTTTCAGAATAGGTTTTTGAGTCTGTTATAGGATATTATCAGAGCCAGCAGGAAAGGGGCTCAGGTGACTGCCTGAGTAGGAACAGTACCCCCTAAGAGGAAAGATGTAGGAAACTTTTTTTTTTTTCCCCCCCTGTGTTAGACACAGGCTCAGTAGAAACTTCCAGCCTGACAATTTAGAGGGGTCCTAGAGAATGGCTGCCAGGAGCAGGACGACTGTGGTAAGGAGGCCTATGCATCAAAATGCAGGACTTGATTTACTCCGAGTTGTTTATAGTGGAGGGCTAAGTGAAAATTGCTGGTGAAACCAATAAAAGGTCTGGAGAGAAAAGGGCTGGATTCAGTATTGGGATTTTCTTGCCAATCCTTGGGCTGGCTCTCCAAGTCAGTAGCCTACAGAAGTATTGCAGCATTCAAGCAACTGTTGCTAAGGTGAATTTAAAAACGTGAATTTTCAGGAACGAAAGTCAGAATCATGGACTGCATTCTATCAACAGCTGTATGATCAAGATAGTCCATAAGTATTTTGCAAAAGTGCACAGAACAGATACACCATGTGCTGGCTTAATGAAGGTGAAAGGGAGAGGGAGAGGTGTCATTGTTGAAAACAAAACCCTGAAACTGATGTGGATGATTTACAAAGGCAAGGATAGTTCAAGTTGTGGTGATCTCATGCCAAACCAGCTGAGCTTTAGAATATGTTTAAAGCAGGGGTGCTAGTGGACTGAATGTTTTGCTGAGAAGTGTTACTGTGGTAACTAGAAAGGCTCTATTTGTTCATGAGATTTCTGTTTATCCAAGTACATGGAGTACAGTAGATGGAAGAGTTTTTAAGTTATAGATCATACTCTGCAATAATCAAATGCAAGGCCCTTGGACATATTCTGAATCTATCAGTTTTGCAGATGGATGCATTTAATAAAATGTTTCCCGGTTGTTAGGTATAGTGCAAAAACTAATTTTTCTTTACATATGAAAGTTAGACTGTTAGTGTCTCAATTCTGTTTTGAGGGGGGTTTCCCCCTTAAGCAAATATATATCAATATTCTTAACTCTATAAGCTGTACCCACTTGTCTAGTATCTGCAGCTAAGTTTTGATTTTTTTTTTTCTCTTAAAATCAAAGCCTTTTCTCTGAGGACCTGGGAGCATGCAGCCCTATAAAATTTTTCTTTTCATATCCCTTCTGACCTAGGCTGGGTACAGACTGAATCTTGCTCTATAGTTTGAGCAAAATAGCTCCATTGACACCAAATATGCCAGAAAACCCAAAAGTCTTACAGGTAGTTACTACTTTGTATAATTTAAATACTAATGTCTAAAAGCTGAATCTAAATTTTAAAAAAAATTAAAAGGCTGCTGTTACCTAATATATAGAAGGGAAGAGAACTTTCTTATTCTGTGAAGTGTGGCTTAATTTATTTTGGGTGTGGTAGAAAGAGAAAATTCTCAACCTAAACAAGAATATGTGAGTCTCTTCTAGTGGAAAGTATTTTCCATGCTAGTGAGTCATCCTGTAACTGGAGGCTTTCATTAGAAACAACTGTTTTGTCCAAGTTTGTCTCAGATTTCTAAAGTTTTATTTTGTGAAAAATAATAGGATTTAGAAACTCAAAAAGCATAAAATGGGTGTGCAGCTTGTACATAATAACTTTTACTACCTATGAATTAACTGACTTTTAAGGTCAGCAGGCTTGTTGGGTTTTTTTTTTTTGTTTTTGTTTTTTTACTTACATTTATATATATTTCAGACTGGAGTAAAGTTATGAGAATTGGAATGTGTAGTCCCAGAAGGGCTTTACAGAGGCACAACAACGCTTCCTGTTTTCCAGTCCAAACTAGACCCTCCTGCCAAATTAGGAAGCTGTCAGACTGGCTTGCATTGAAGTCCTAATATAATAGAAATTAAGTTGTTGTTTTTTTTAATCTTTGTGCATCCTCCTGTAGAGACTATGATTAATTCTCAACTGCATGTTTCTGTTTGGTCTTAGCTGTTCAACACAAGGGTGAAACTTCCTGTCTGTTTTCCCTATCAAAAGCTCTAGCTATTCCAGATCTGCCAATATTTTATTTCTGTTGCAATATTTTATTTCTGTTGAATATTTCAAATGCTTTTCAGGAATATTTTGTAATATGCTTGTAGCTAAATATTATTATTCTCAGCTGTTCAGTTGACAAATAGATTCGATCTAACAGTTCAGGCCCAGTACTTCAATATTAAATACTTTTAGCAGGTGAATCTCTGGTTAGAATGGCCACATTTAAATAGTGAGTAAAACAAAGAGTAATTATAAACAGGCAGTTCTGCTTTTTCTGAAGAGAGAGAAGAAATCTTTGTTCCTAACATGCTGAGAGATCTGTTGAAATAGTTCTTGCTCAGTTCTTGGTCTAATAGTGAAACTGTAAGAAAAATAGAGCTTTTAACTTTTGAAAGTGAAATTTCCCTTTCAAAAAAGTGTGTGCAGTAGCTTAGTTGCTGAAAAACCTCACTAGAAATAAATTTGGTATGGACATATAAGCATCAACACATGGGTTATGTATGTAGTGTGTGGTTGTAAGTGGGAGATGTGTTGGTGGGTAGTTGACGGGACTGTTAGTATGACACACTTTTTAAAGATGTTTTTGAGAAGACCTGCAAGACATGGGACATTTTTAAACTAAAGTAAATGTTATTATTTTCGTATATTATGGGTCCTAGAAAAATTCACATCAACAGGTTCTGGCTGTGCCCGCCAGAAAAAGGGGAAAGACTGAACTAAGCCACGTATTTAGCTTCTATTTCTCTTTTTGCCTCTAGAGACTAAGACTTTTTTGTTGTCTAAGTGTGTCCAGAATTCTTGTACCTAATTGTAACACCTGTGGACAAGGACAGTGCATTTCCTGGGCACTATATCCTTCTACTGAGGTACAGAGTATCTATTGTGACTTTGACCAAATTTACTAATACAGAGCATTTTGTGTGCATGCAGAAATATTAGTGGCCCACATTGGTAGTAAAAATGCTTTGTAAATCTAGTGCAGCTGGAACAGAGATGTCATGGTATGGTTATAAAAAAGCCTGGATTCTGTAAGGCTTCAGGCACTTCTAGCCTGCCTCTGGTTGGAAGGGGAGCCCCACGGTCACGGCATGTCAGCTGAACGAAGCTGCAATGTTTGGCCCCAGGCAGAACAGCCCGTACTGGGCGTAGGGTTCATGCCAGGTTAGGTACGGTCAAGAGAGTATGGTTACTTCCACTTCCCTTAAACTGAGTGATTAAAGCCAGTGTAGGGAGTGATCAAGAATTTGCGAGTTCTACCTCAAGGCTTAATCATTATTTTTCTAATGTGTTGCATCTCCAGTTTCTAATGTGAAATCTCCTGTTTAAAACTGCTGATGTTATTTCAAGTATCAAAATTTACCATTTTAGAAACTGCTTCAGTATGGGAAAACTACATACTATTAGTCTCTCTTAATTCATTCTCAAACAAAACACTACATTCAAATTCTGCTCAGTGCAGACGGACTTGAACTGCCTGCTGGACTTATTGAGCAGTATGCTCACGTAAGAGACAGAGTTTTGGCCTTCCAGCTTAGAGCAGCACTCATTTTCTTTGTAGACTTGGAATCACTTCCAGTGCATTCAGGAATGGCTTTCATTAGCAGATCAATGCATCAGTTGGGATAATGTGCACTACTCTTTCACTTCTGAGGGCCTAGATTTATGTTTCTCTCTATAAGAACATATGTGGACCGTTATTCTAATTTCTAACGAACACTCTGAGCCTGCTGCCAACCAGTATACAAGTTGGCACAATTCATGGCCTGTTCCTAAGTGTTTTAGGACTATGGTGGAGAATAAATTCTAACCTTCCAGTAAGACTGTCCAGCAGTGTGGGAAGAATTTAGATAGTAGTTAATATTGTCTGTGTGCAACCTTTTGCTGTTATGTGCATTCATTTATCAATACTAAAGGCCCAGATCAACAAAAGCACATGCATCTAAGTACCCTTGTGGACCGGACCTATCCTTAACCTTGCACAGTTACTGAACTACATGTCCAGCCAGCTCTTTTTTGTCCTCAGGATGGGGTGACTAAAAGTTAATGTTAGCTTTACTTTGTTACTGCCATCAGGTAATGATCTATAAAATTGACACATTAAATTTGTTTTTAAATCTCTTTATGCTCCCCAGTTATCAGAGATATGTCACAATAGTTTCCCAGAAAAGCCTTAAGAGTCAATCAGTTGAAGAAAGATTAATGTTCTTGTACTTAAAATACTCAGAGTAATCAGTTTTCACCTCATTTTGAACTGCCTGCAAGTTTAACATGCTGTTTTGTGTTACTTTCCCTCTTCCTGTAAAAATCTCTTACTTGCAATAACTTGATCTTACATAAGTAGTGAATGAGTGGCAAAGTTTAAGAATTTAGTGGGATGCTGACAGCTTTATAACTTACATACAACGAACAGTGCAGCGAGTTATTTACCATAACTGTTTGTCCTTTCAAAGGACATAATTTATTTTCTTGCCAAAGTTAAGTGTTTGACATGTAAGTGTCCCCTCAAAAGTACAGACAACATGAAAAATTATTATTATCAGAAAGTTTGTTATTCACATGAAAGAAGAGAATCCCATGTTTTCTCTGCTCAAATATTATTTTTTTATCTCAAGTCTGTTGTACATTTTGCTGGCATCTTGACAGACGAGATGCACGGTACCTGCTTGCTTGCAAATGGGTTCGTGGCCTAGAGTTGCCAGTTATAATTTAAATTGCTACTGTGTACAAAGTCATTTCATAATTCTTATCCCTTTTCCTCCTCCCAGGTATTCGTTACAGCATGGATGTTAGTGTGGATGAAGTGAAAGCTTTGGCATCTCTAATGACATACAAATGTGCTGTGGTTGGTAAGTGATGTTATTTTTCATTGGAATTAGCTTGGATTTACTTCATACTAAGATATGAGTGATTTAATTTTTTTAAATGTTTAGATTGATAGATATTAGGGTTGGAAGGGTAGGTAGGTTATCGAGTCCGACCCCCTGTCCTGGGCAGGAAAGAGCGCTGGGGTAAGACGACCCCAGCTAGGTGCTTGTCCAGTCTCCTCTGGAAGACACCCAAGGTAGGGGAGGGCACCACTTCCCTTGGAAGCCCATTCCAGATTCTGTAACCTTTACTGTGAAGTTCTTTCTAATGTCCAACCTAAATCTGCTCTCTGTCAATTTGTGGCCATTGTTCCTGGTTACTCCAGGGGGTGCCTTAGTAAATAGAGCATCTCCTATTCCGTGCTGCCCTCCCCTGATGAGCTGATAGGCAACCACAATATTACCTCTCAGCCTTCTCTTGCGAAGACTGAAGAGATCTAGGTCCCTCAGTCTCTCCTCATAGGGCCTTGCTTGCAGGTCTGACTGTATGAGTGGCCCTTCTCTGAACCCTCTCAAGATTCTCTGCATCCCTTTTGAAGTGTGGTGCTGTAACAGGTATCCGCTCTGGGCCGACCTAAACGTGGCCCGCACACCTGTTCCTGGGGCAACTGCCTGCCTACTCGCCTGCTGTGCCTTGTTGTTAATTGATTAATTGGTGTTAATTAGCGGGAGGCTGCCCTTGTACTGCCCCACTCCCAGGGGGCGCTATCTGCGGCTTTGTTTCCTCCCCTACACCGCAGTCCACACCTTGCCGATGGAATAGATGTTATGTCCCATCCTAATTACAATCTGGCCCCTTTTTGTCCTCTCTGGGCCTCCTCAGTCACACCGCCCCCTCTCTGGGGCTCCCCAGTAATGCCCCCTTCTCTGGGGTTTCTCAGCAACTGCCCCCTCTCTGGGGCTCACCACACCCGCACTGGGCTTCTCAGCCCCGCCCCCAGGACTCTTCAGTAGTGCCGCCCCCTCTCCGGGGCCCGCACTGGGGCTTCTCAGTAACTGCCCCCTTCTCTGGGCTTCTGCCTCGTCTCCAGGTGCTCCTCAATACTGCTGCCGTCTCTCAGGGCGCTCCTCAATACTGCCGCCCCCTCCCCTGGAGCCTTCTCAGTAGCGCTGCCCCCTCCCCTGGGGCCTTCTCAGTAGCGCTGCCCTTCACGACTCACCGCAATGCTACTCCCCTTCTCCGAGGCTCACCACGCCTGCCCTGGGGCTTCTCAGCAATGCCCCCTTCTCTGGGGCTTCTCAACTGCCCCTCTCTGAGGCTGGGGTCTATGTACCCCAAATGCTGTGCCCTCACTGGTGCTGGGGTCCCCACACTAGTGTGAGTCCCCTATGAGGCCTCCTCCAACCCCCAATAGCCTCACCCAAACCACCGGTGATAAACAGCAAAACAAAACACAAGCCCCTAGGCTATAACGTAACTTAAAGCCGCCTGGCTAAAACCATGTTGCTCAAACATCCCAGGGCTGCCATCCTTTACCCGGCTTGGGCTGTACCTGCGGTCAGGCTTCTACTCACATCTTTGCTCAGGGAGCTCCCTCCTCTCTGACTGCTGGCAGGGAACTGCCTCTAGCCTTAGCTCTTTAGGTTTATAAGGGAGCCAGGCCCTGCCCGTTCTGGTCAGCTGACCTCCTCTGGCTGCCCTGGCGACCTGCAGCTGGGCTCCTTATTCACTGCTAGGGACCTTTCCCTAGCAGTTTCTCCTCTTTAGGAGCAGGGTACCTCAGTGCTCTGCAACAGGTGCCCAGTACTCCAGCTGTAGCCTGACCAGTGCCGCATAGAGGGGAAGCATCACCTCCCTGGACCTGTTCATCATGCATCTGCTAATGCATAATAAAGTGCAGTTAACCTTGTTGATCACTTTGTCACATTGACGACTCTTTTTCACTTTGGAATCAACTATGACTCCAAGATCCCTTTGTGCTGCTGAGAAGATCATCCCCTAGCCTGCAAGTGTGTTGGTGGTTCTTTTTGCCCAGGTGCAGCACTTTACACTTGTCTTTGAACTGCATCCTATTTCGTTCTGCCCATTTTTCCAACCTGTCTGTCTGGATCCATTCCCTACTCTCTGGTGTGTTAATTTTGCCCCATAATTTGGTATCATCTGAGATACTATTCTCCTTTGTATAAAATCTGCCGTGTGCGGGCCGGGCGCGCCCCGAGCCCTTTTTCGCGCTGCACGCAGGCTGTGGCCAGCAGCCCGGGCACGCGGGGGCGGAGAGGGATGGCTTTTGCTCTGGAATTAGGCACGGACGCGTATCGGTAGTTTAAAAGATTGTTTACTTACACCGAGATGGCAGTGGTGTAGGCTGGAAAGCTTGCTTCAGTTGCAGTTACAGAGAAGAAAAAGGAAAGAGGCGGACAAGAGTTCTAGACTCGTGAACTCTAGCCCAATCCG